CTCTGGTTAAGCTAGAAGAAACTCAAGTCATCTCAACCAAGCGCTCTTGGGTAATAGTAATGTAAATCTTGCTGTGAATATTTCCAAAAATTCTATGGTGCCACAACATGATGTGGCACATTATGATTGGTGCCACAACTATCACACATCATGTTGTGGCACCAATCATAATATGCCACATCATGTTGTGGCACCATAACACGTGCACATGTGGCACGTAGAATTTCTGGAATATTTCACCTCAAAAGATTATCAATCCACAATTAATTGTTTAATTAGAAGGTGGCCTGAAAGAGCTTTCAGCACATCTGTGTGGTGGATATGGGCCTTAACACTTGGGCCAAAGAATTGTACTTGACAGGGCACATATCTATGTGGTGGATATGGGCCTTAACACTTGGACCAAGTATTGTAGATGACAGAGTAGTTAAAAATTACCATGAAATCTGGCTAGATTTTGTAGACCAATTGACATGCATACTGATTGAAAAATAATTGCAAAAATATATATACTTTATTTATTTATTTATTTTATTTTTTATTTTATTTTTTTTTTGCAAATACAACTATGATACCATTCATTGGATACATTGGATTTTGAATATTATCAAAAGAAAGATATTTTAACAATTTAATTTTAGCAAAAGAGAGATAATTTTCTCAAAGACGTGGTTCAAAGTGTCATTTGGCAAGGGATCGCACAAACCACAAATGACCGTCAATGCATCCATCTTAGCATATTGAATAGAGAAACCCTAATCTAGAGAAAAGCAGAGACCTAGCCGAGTTTTACGTCGTTTGCGAGCTCGAGTCGCGACTCGCGAGATGGTGTCGCGACTTTCCCCAGATTTAGTAGATTTTTTCGATACGCGACTCGCGACCTGGAAAGACGACAAGTCGCGACTCAAGACTTGATCAACGCGAATTTCGAGACGCATATTTTACATCAGAATTTCGACCTAAGGGGATCATTCATTCACTTCCGGACTTTAGTTTTACGCTTTTTCTCTCTACTGAACTGAATCCTGTCATTACTTTTGCACTTTGAATTTGTTTTTGGAGATTGAAAAAAAAATCATTTCTTGCTTTGGATTTGGATGCTCTTGGATTTGACATTAGATTATTTTACATTAATCGTAAGTTCCTCTTTTCTCAATTATTTATTGGTGATGATAGTTAGGGTAAATATGAATAGTGATGTTGAATTTGTTATGAGTAGTTAAATATCATATACTAGGGATAGGGGATGATTGATTCGGTTCGTTTTATGATTGCTTGCTTTTGAATGTTCATATCTATTCGAGTTGTGCGAATTATAGAGTTAGTCGATTGATCACCAGTCGAATCTAGTTAATCAACGTGTAGAACCGAGAGGGGAGACGTTGGTCGATTTAGGCTCGTTTAGAATAGACTTGTTCGAAAAAGTATTGTTTATGTGTTGTTGGATCTGATAGTTGATCGTTCACATTCACTCTCTTGTTACGAAGAGTTATTTAGAGCAAATCTCTGGACGAGAAACAATTCAAGTCCTTTAACCGAGCAATTGATAGTCCGGTAATTGTGTTAGAACCGAAAGAAATTATTCTGATTCCCTAGCTCTTCGATATTGAGTGAATTAGTTTGCTATTTTTTTTTTACTTTTCATTTAGTTTAAAATCATTAGCTGACAATTGAACCCAAAAACCTTTGATATATAGTGTTTAGGATCTTGTCTTCTCTTTTTTTGTGATCGAATAATCGTACAATTGAATCTGGCTAACCTTCCTTGCGATACGACCCAGGGAACGAATCTCTTAATTCTACTCCGATAAAAATACTGACAACATAGGCATTTTGTGCCCGCGAAAAATCTCGCCTGGATCGCGAGTGTTTTTCAGCGGCACTCGCTGCGAGCCACTACTCGCGACCCCACGGACGAGTGCCCGAGACCGCACAACTCCTACCGTACTCGTTGTGAAGCGCCAGTCGGGGCTGCGCGAGCCCAGGCGTGTCACCATCCACCAAGCGCCCAATCGACAACGAACTTCATTCCGCGTGCGCGCGACCTAGCGCGCGAGAGGATCTGCGCCTACTCGCCAGCGACCCCAAGGTCGCGACTCGGGGAGTTTCCATCCGTGACCAGCATTCCACCTAGCACACACTAGCAGCGAAACTGATTTCACTACTTAGCGAGTCTGAAATTTCATTAAATTGTGTGTATTTTGGTGTGTGTTTTTGGGCCTAATATAAATATGGTCATTCCCTTTGTAGTTGGGAAGCTAGACTTCATTTTTTACTTTTTCCCTTTTGGATTTGTTATCTCATTTTATTTTTCTCTCTATTTTGTGTTGGCGTTCTATGACCGAATTTTCTGGCGGCTTTCCGGCAAGTTTATTTTATGCAAGTTTCAATCTTTTCACTCCGGTTTGCTTAGATCATTCAATAAGAGAGTGTGTACTTACTTTTAAGCCTCATTACTCCATATTTGTTCCATTTTTGCTTATAAAATTTTTCAAAGGGGATGTTGCTCGTTGAATGGAGGAAAATTTGGAGCTTTTTATTTTTATTGCTTGTCTAAGTGATTATAGGAGTTAAAAACTTTTTTATCTTATTATTTCATTGCTTTCCTAAGTGATTATAGGAGTTAAAAACTTTCTTATCTTGTTATAAAGGTTTAGACTTTGGTGAAAGCTTAATCATTTAGGTTAAAAAGTCAGTGTTAATTACTTAGGATACTTGGTGGTTGCATAATTGTCTTCATTTGAGTGCGTTTTTTCTCAAGTTATAGAGACTCTTGTAGACCAAAATTCCCATTGTTTCTCTTAAAACTCTCGTCTTTCTTTACTTGCTTTCAATTGCTATAACTCCTAATTTGAATTTAAATTATTCTTTATTCATCAACTCCAATCATCTTGATAAGATGTTTAGGATTTTATTTGCTCTTTTTGTGATATTGGACGACTACTTATTGAGCGAAATTCCAAACCGTCTTCCTTCAGAGACGACCCGAGATTCGAATTGGCCGAACTCCGTTATCAATTTTGTGTTTTTTTTTTATTTCTCGTCTTTTATTTATTTGTTGGCTTATTTTTGTCGGTAGTTGTATTTGCCATATTTGAGGTATTTTATCCATTATCGTTTGTTGTTCTACACTAAAAGCACTCACAATGCTTTGGGTCTCTTAGAAAAAAATCACATGTCATGTAGGAATTAAACTTAGTCTATAAAAAAAATGTTTCACAATGCAATTAAAAGTGGACATAGTCTAACTTATGTGGCTCTAGAAAAAAGAGACCAAATCCACACTTGGGTCTATTTTGGACCCAAGTGCAAACCCGCCTAGTCATTAATTGTCCACAATTTTTTTTTTTAAAGGCAAAACATATTTTTTTTTTGTATGCATTTATTATTACTATATTTTTATTGGTTGTGTAGTATTATAGACTTAGTACTTTTTTGTTTTGTATTGGATAGATTTTGGATTTTTTAGCTTGAGTTTGTACATGTAATTGTTTTTTATTTTGCATTGGATAGATCTTGGATTTTTTAGTTTGAGTTTGTCCATATAACTAGTACATACCCCGTGCGATGCACCGACAGAGATATTAAATAAGTTATTTTTACAGTTTTTTCCATTTAAGTCTAAAAAGTAATAAGGTTATTTATCTATTTTCTACCTCTTTTAATCAACGTTAGGTCTAAAAACAATAGGGTTATAAGCTTTTTTCAACATCTTTTAATCAATGTTTTTCTTAGCCAGAACATTAAATATGAGCATGATAAAGGTTAGCTTGTAAAATAATTAATATATTATCTCACTAAAACATTTATACTAATAAAAATTTAATTTTAGCATATAAATTTATCCTTGATATAAGAGAAGTAATAGTTTTACTTATTCTTGTTCACCATATAATATTTAATAATTATTTTATTATGATAAAAGGAAATCTATTAAGCCGCTTTTTGACAAATATGTATGGAATTATGTGTTCGTGTCTCATAAGTCACAAACATAATGAATAACATTACAAATTATTCATTCAAACTTTTATTCATTGCAAATATATTAAAATAGTTTATATAACGGCCATTAAATACCACTTTCAATATATTTATAAACAAAAAATACATAAAATTTCTGGTGTGTTTAAATTTAAATAATTTTTATGGGCTCAATTATAAATCATCCAGACATTTGGTCAAACGCATAGGTGTACATGCTCAAATTTAAATCATTGTCATTTTGTTCGGTTGAAATTTAAATCATCTATCATGGTACTGTGATGTGTATTATATATATATACAATTTTTTTAACAAATAATATGTGCTTTATAAAAATAACAATTTCATAATATTTTAAATATAAAATTTGGTCTTTAACACAATAGAAAAATCATGATAAGTTGTATTGAAAATGTGTTATGGCCTATGGGATAAAACAATTAAATAAAATAATTAAATAAAATACTTGATGGAAATAGAATACATTAATTACGTTTGACTTTTCTTACTACTAATTTTGGTAAATATGATGGTTTTTTATATAAGTATAGATTATGGATTTAATTCTATTTATTTGCCACGTAAGCCATAATTATACGCTCTAAAAGAAAAAAAATACTCCCTCCTATTTTTTTAAATGTCTTCTAGCTTTATCTACTATTTGCTAAATAAACTCGTTTTGGATCTTTTGTACATATTTTTCCATTATTACACTGCTAATTTCAAAACGACATATATTAAAAATAGGAGATAGTATATATTCTCATCATAAAAACTATGAATATACTATATATTATCAGTTCGATTTTTTCTCTAACAAAGTGATTGCTGCTCACGTGAAACTCACGTGACCTGAGCTCCTACCCAGGGTTTTACTTCCTTCCCACAAACCTTCCCAAAAACCCTTGTCGCCAAAGGAACACACAGAAGCTACAGCACAGACTTGGCCACTTTCATGGCGAATGTCTGAATAATCTCTCCATCTCACCCATTTTCGCCCCCCACAATCTCAACAATGAGACAACTATCTGCAAAACCCATATTAACCCTCTCCCATTTCACTACCAGAACCCAAAATTTTTTCCAGAAATCACACATTTTACCTTTCTCCACGGATAGCCATCAAAACCCCTTCCCGAGTCACCAATCGCGGCGGCCTACGGCGGAGGATAGCCGCAACGTCCGCGTGTCGGTGTGGTGGGATTTCGAGAACTGCAATTTGCCGCTGAACACAAATGTATTTAGGGTGTCGCAGAGCATTTTCAATGCGGTGAGGGCAAATGGAATGAAGGGGCCGCTGCAGATTACGGCGTTCGGGGACATAATGCAGATCTCGAGGACCAATCAGCAAGCTCTTTCTTCTAATGGGATCACTCTCATCCATGTTCCTTCTGGTAGATTTTTTGTCCCTTTTGTTGATTGTCGAATTTTAATTTGGTGTGTGCTTTCTTCTTATGCTCTGTTGATTAGTGCTTTCCTCTTATATTTAAGATTTCATTTTTGCTGTTATTTTGTGGGTTTGTGTTTTGCTTTGTCATTTGGTTATTTACATATTGATTTGTTGTATATTTTTTTTCGGTTTGTGTTTGATTATAGCAGAAATCGAAGAGTTCATAAATTGGTATGTTTTTGCAAGTACAATGTAACAAATATGCATTAGTTTAAAGAGGGCCTGTGAACATGTTGCAGAAGTATTTTGTTGGTGAAAGTATATGAAGAAGCTAAATGAATATCCACAGAACAATCACTTATTCTGATTTTTTATGAAACTATGTAATTAGAAGCAAAAACTGGCATTTAAATATACTTTGAAGGATTTTTTTCCTTTTTGCTTTAAGCTAATTACAACTTCTTTTATCCTCTTTTCCCTTTTAGTGATTCCAAATACTCCTTTCAATAATTATTGAGAATTCGTGATGAGATGAAAGGACGATCACCTTAGAAATTGATTTTTTTTTTCTCGTATGGTAAAATTCTGCTTAGGACTCTGATGTTTGAAGGTTTTTCCCCTCGTTGGTGTCACGGTGTGGAGTTCTTGTTAAAAATTAATTTTGTTCACCCTTCGAGGCTTATGCCAAAAGTCATATTTAAATGAGGTGGGATTCATCATTCTTTTTATTTTATTTTTTCCTTCCTTTTTTTTTTTTAAATAATATTGCAGATAGTAGTAGTTTATTAGTGAAAGCAAGTTCATCAATTTGGCAAGTTGTAATCGCTGGGCATGGTGGATATTGAGGTTCAATCCTTTTGGTCTTGTAAATTTCAGTTTTTTTTTTTTTTTTTTTTTTTTTTTTTTTTCATATTGATGTGCAGTTGAAGATCATTGAGATTTCTCTTTTCTTTTGTTTTTTTCCTTAACTTCAAAGTTAGAAGATCGTAGATCCTCTATGCATAATGACAACATCATTTGTTTAGTTAAGTATGATCAGAATTACCTGCAGTTATTATATTCTTCTAGTTGTCCTTGGATTCTTGTAACTCAGTCCCCATACCAGTGATCTCTGTCTGTAGCTTAATATGAACGTAAGTGATTATATTTTTGGATATTTTGTGTTGCTCGGTTAGACGTAATTTGAAATTGTGCATATTTTTTTGTTTTCTATGTGTGTTCATTGTTTTTCTGTAAGTAAATATTTTCTTGATGAGAAATTGGTCCTTACAGGAACATGTCACATACATATTTTGCTATCACCTTTTCTTCTAATGATTAGTTTTCTGGTCTGCTATGATGAACATCAATGGCAAATTGCAGAAAGAAGTTCTGAGTCCACTAAAATTACATGTCAGCTGGACCTGAAATTTTACCATTTTGCATTGTTGCATGCTTTTTGTAAACCACCTTCTCTTTATATTGAGAATTTGAATTTCTGTTTCCCTGATACCTTTCGGGAACTCAGTACTTTATTAAGTAAACTGTTAAAAGTACTCAGAGAGTGTTAGTTTTTTGTTCCTGTAGTTTGAAAGTATCAAACCCTTCCATCTTATGTCTAATCAGTAATGGAGAACTGAACTTGAGATAAATCCGTTAGACTGCATCATCAAAAAACCCTTAAAATCCACTTTTCAATTCTCTAGGTGGCAAAAACAGTGCCGATCGATCCCTCCTAATCCATCTCATGAGTTGGGTCTCTCGAAACCCTCCCCCGGCCCACATCTTCCTAATCTCTGGGGATAGCGATTTTTCGGACATTTTGCACCGTCTGAGGATGGAAAATTACAATATATTGCTCGCCAGTCCCGATACTGCCCCTAGCGTGTTATGCAGTGCCGCAACTATTATGTGGCAGTGGAGCTCTTTGCTTAAAGGTGAAAATCTAACGGGAAAGCTTTTCAACCAGCCGCCCGATGGCCCTTTTAATTCTTGTTACGGGCACTACCGGGCCCCACTTGAGGACCCGTTTGCATCTACTGAGCAAAACCCGTGCCTTACTACTAGCGCCGATGAGCCCAAAATCCGGCCGATACCAAAGGCTGTTTCGAAGCTGGTTTCGCAGATTCTCGACTCGTTTCCCGATGGAATCTCTATGTCGCTCCTCCGCACGGAGTTGTCTAAGAGTAATTTAGCTATCGATAAAGATTTATACGGGCACAAGAAATTTTCTCGTTTTCTTCAGGCCATGCCTAGTGTTCTGAAGCTTCATTCTGGGAGTGACGGGAAGTGTACCGTGAAGCGTTTGGGGAATAATAAGTGTCTCGATGAGCATGTTTCAAGTGCATATGCAGAATCTGATATTGGAAGTGATGAGAGCAGTTGTATTGATAATGTGACTGAGAAGTCGATAATACCCCCGGCTCTGGAACCCAAATCTTTGTCAGCGAACTTTTTCGAGGCTCGGAAGGAAGAAAATCAGAATGATTTGTATTCAACGACGGTCGTGCAAGAGACGAAAACCAATGCTCCTCATCCTGTGAATTCACAAGAAAAGAAAAAGGAGGAAAAATGGAAGGAGATTATAACGAGAAGAACAGCTCAAGAGGTAAGAGAGCAGGATAAGAAAGTGAAAATTTCAGAGCAGCCAGAGAAAGTTGTGGGTGACGAAATTAAAGAATTTCCCGTAAAGAATGAGAATCAAGTGCCTGTGGTAAATAATTCAGAACTTGGAATCATGAGAAGGATATGGATAGTGTTGTTTGGGAGTGGAGATGAAGATTCTAATCGTGAAAACTTTCAGAAAAATGGCGGGAAAGATACTACTTGCGATAAAGCTATTAATTGGAACCAACCTTACGAGCTTGTGCGTCCTGCTTTGTTTTCGCCTTCGAGTCACGAAGCTCTGATTTATAGGAAAAATGCTGGGCCTTGTGATGTTGATGTTGCTGATGTATCCAGTCAAGATGCCAGCTTATTCAATCAGATCATGAGCTGGTTTAAATTTTCTAGTTCTAAGGAAAATGATAATAAATTTGAAAAAGGTGGTGAAACTGCTGCTACAATGAAGGTTGATGCTAATCAACTTGAGATTTTTTCCAGGGAGTCCTTTTGGAAGGAATTGGAATCGTTTATAGACACACCAGAAGGGGTGGCTAGTATTTCCCTGTCAAGGAACAGGTAATTATTTGATTTTTTTGTTTTTCTTTTTCAGCTTTATCATTCATCTGCTGCATGCTGTCATGGCGTATGTGTTCGTTGAATGTAGATTTATTCATACCGTTTCATTAAGTCGGACTATTATAACTGACTATGGGTGTGTGACTCGATGTTACTCTCATTTTGAAAATTTTCTATTTACTAGCTAATAGTGATAAAAAGTTTGAGGAGTGTGTCGAACTTGAGGCGTTCATTGTTATCATTTTTGCATATAATAATAACTATATTGTGACTACATGATTGCATAAAGTATAAAAGACGTGGAATGAACTAAATTTTTATTCTTGGATATGGGGATCTTGAGTGGCTCAAAAGTTAAGGCTGACCATAAGCAAGAAGTTTCTGAATGAGTGTTCTGTTAGTGTGAAATTCTAAAATGTAATAATTACATGCTGCAGCTTTATCTGTCTAAACTTAATCATGGTTAGAGTATTGATTTCTTACGGCGAGTCGTTTTTAACCAACGACTCACCCTATGAAAGCTATACTCCAACCAACCACTTAGTTAAGTAGGTCATGACCCAATCTGTTGAAGGGTCCCTTGACTTGTTAATTTTTAAGTTTAAAAAAGATTCCAAATTTGCATCAGTTTTGAATTCAAATGAAGACTCTGTTCATGATCCCTGCATTGAAGTGTTCTTACATGCTCTCCTCGGTCTATATTACCAATACTGGGATTGAGATTCAAATGAACTTCTGCCGACTTTGATCGAGTTGATTCTGTCAAATGTCAGATCATGATTTATCATTATTTTTTCTAATTCGAAATGGTCAATCTGTTACTCTAAGTAACAAATGTGTAATTGGGCTTTTTTACAGCGGTTTCACTATTCTCATTGTCATTTTCATACAGTTTATTTTGATTAAATTGTTCATTATTTTGTGTGCCACATGTTACAGAATGATTATTAATTTGTATGTTTTTTTCCTGGTGATGATTTAGGGATAAACTAGCACAAAATCTACAAAAACAGGGGCCTCCCTCTCTACAATCTCTCTCTAAAACCGAACTCCTCCACCTAGTCGACCTCTTGATCTCCCACAAGAAATGGGTCGAGGAATGTAGCTCCCGGACATACCCGTTCCAACTCACTCGCCCGCCCGCCATGAACAACGGGCTGAGTCAAATCTTTTCTGCCAAACACCCGAGCCCTCCTGAACCCGGGGAGAGAAAGCACCAGAACAACCCTCCCCACACAGGAGTCTCACCACAGCACACAGTTCATAAAAACCTTTCGACCAAAACAAGAAGTGAGCTATTAGCCGACTGCCAGAAGCTCGTGGACCATATCGTGAAGGAATATCCCGAAGGTTTTAACTTGGGTTCCTTTAGGAAACTGTTTCTTGAAAGAAATGGTTACAGACTCCACCTCCAGAAGCTTGGCTATGAGAAACTGGTGAATCTCCTGCAGATCATGCCTGGCGTGAAAATCGAGTCCAACTTAATTTTTCCGGCTGGGCCATTCAAGCGCCCTAGCCCGCCACAAAAAAGCTCCGGCAGCAAGAAAGACAACGATTCTGACTCTTCGTGGGATGAGCTGGGCCCAGTTGATGATTCGATTTCGGGCCGTAATAAGGGGAAGAGTGGTCACGGTTATGATCCGGTGAGGGACGAAGATTTCTCGGACTCTGAAGACGAGGAATTGGGAAACGAGGCAAAACCAAAGCCTGAGGAGGAAAGCTCGTTGCTGCAAATTCTTGATACATGGTATGGCAACAAAGGCTGTGATGGCAAGAAAGGCGAGCCCGCGGGCCCCGACGTGTCTGCTGACGGAGGCGGGCCTAACACCAAGTCGCTTGGTGGGCAGACAGGCCCGGGACTGAGGAGCGAGAATCAGGATGTGGGCCCCACAAAGAAATACAAGCCCAGCAAGAGCTACTCGTTTGTGTCTGAACAACAGCCGAAGCAGCAGCAGCAGCATGTTGATAGCAAAGACGAGCTGGTGGAGGGTATATTGGTCAGCTTGAAAAAATCTGGCGAGAGATCGAATGTTGAATCGAGGGTTTTCGGATGAATGGTGGTAAGAACGCGAGACAGCACAAATATTTATTTATTGTGTAGCTCCGTTTTTTGCATGAAAAAATATGAAGAGAGTGTTATGAAATACGGGGAATATAAAGAACACAATGTAAAAACCGGATATGAATTATAAGAAGCTGTCTTTGCTTTCTTTCTTCACTTCATGTGTACATAAATGGCAATGCATCCATCACCTTTTATAGCCAAATTTGGCACACTATTCAATACATTATATAATATAATAATAAAAAGATAATCCTTGTTAATAGTGGTAAATCCACTTGTTCCTAATAGAGAGACTGTTTTGTGTCTTTTTTAGCTTGGATTTTCTTTGGTTCTGATGGAATAAATTGGTCTTGGTGTCTCGATTTTTTGTTGGCCGCCTGTGTTAACGATGTGATTCGTGCTTATAGCTTAGTCGATTAGCTGATTTTGACCGCGTTAAAATTATCTCCTCCACGTTTCTGGATTATAAGCTCTATGGTAAATGTGCTGCAAGTTACTAAAATGAAAGGATAGTTATGTTTTCAAATTAAAGGACTTCTTTCTGTAAGGATTATTCAGTTATTATTCATAACTTTGTAATTCAACAGAACTTGCTTCGAAACAGGGAAAAGTTAAAAGGGAAAAAAATAAGCATATGTTGGGAATGAGCATGTTTATAGTTTATTTTAGCTGAAAATAAACGAGTTGTTTTCGTCGCTGCCTAAGTTTGAACAACACTTGACTCGGTCAAATCTGAAAAAAAGTTTAAAACTATATATGAAATGTAGGAGATTGCGACGGGATGGTTCCGTCAGTGATTGTTACCGTTGATTATCCATACAACATAATTTATATGCAATATTCTAGAAGTCGCTAGACGCCTGCTAGAGTCTCGGCCAGCGCCTAGCGCTTAGAATCAAGATTAAATCAATCAATCAATCAATCAACATACCCAGTATATTTATTTTCACTATCTAGATTAAATACCTTAATTTTTTTTATTTATTTTCACTATCTACAAAATAAAACTATCTCAACTTATAATAAATTAACACACCTAAGTTCAAATAATAATATATAGTATATTATAAAAAAACATGATAACAAAATAATGTAATTAGTACTTATAAAAATTTAAAAAAAAAAAATTGAAAAATTTTAGTCGAGTCCGCCTAAGCCCGCCTGGACGCCTGACCGATTTTATCAGTTGATTTAGAACAGAGCCTACATGTGTATCAGATGGTGAAAAACGCTAACGGTATCATTTCGTTACGGGACTTTAGCATTTTCTTGAAATGTAATAATGTGTTACAAAACATTATTGCGTATTTTGGTTCAGTAACTTGTGTTGATTGACAAATACATTTTTTTTTTTTTTTTCAAAAATAAGTCAGTTACTTTAGAAACTGTTCAATCGACAACGAGTTAACTGAATTTTGCTGACAAACCCAATCTCACTAATGTGGGGGGCTCAGCTCATTCGATCATTTGTCTTTTTAATTGCGATTTTTTTGTTTTCTATCCCACTAACTATTAGATCGTAATAAATCATTTGTCTTTTTAACCTTAACATTTTTGTTAGCCACTAACTATTAGATCACAGTGAAAAAGAATAATTTTTTTGTTACGTCTGGTAAACTAAGTGATAGTTGATAAGCTAGTTTATAGGGTATTAGTAATTTTCAAATTTATAGCTTATAACTTATGAGTTATAGCTGAAAAACAAGTTCATATGATAAAAGTGTTTGGTAGAATTAGCTGATAAGCTAGCTGAAATAAAAATTTCAACGAGCTTATTTAAAAAGCTACCTAAAGAAGCTTATGAAATAAGTTCGAACTTTTTAAAAAAGGACGTCCTACCGAATGAAATTTATTTAAATATGGAAAACTTATAAGTTAATTGAATAGTCTATAAGCTAACTTATTCGTCTACCAAACATAACCATCTTGACAAAAATAAACAACTTAAAAAATCTATGAACAATAAAGGTTGAAATTGCCAAATATCGTCAAAAGTTAATCTCAAACTTGAGAATTTTTCCGATTAAGCTAATTTTAGTAATTATGGACTAATTTGGTGATGATATTGATAGTCCACATTATTAATTTACGGTTTTGCTATGGAGCCAAAGCTAATTTTAGTAATTATGGACTAATTTGGTGATGATATTGATAGTCCACATTATTAATTTACGGTTTTGCTATGGAGCCAACTGTTGGCTTCATAGCAAAACCGATTTAATTTATATCGAAAAAATAAAATAATTTTCATTCACTTATATATTAATATTCATAGTTATCAATCATTATTATAATATTCCTATACTTGTTTTGGTTATTGACTTTGCTTGGTTTAATATTTCTTTTTGCATGTATTTCTCGCTTTTGTTTTATCACATATCAGTTTGTTGGTTCCTTTATGCTTACATAGCTTGGACCTAACTTCTTCTATGGCTGTGAAGTCTTTAAAATTCAATAAACTAGGTTCTAGTTACATTAGAATGAACAATTTATGTTTATTTCTTATAATGCTATTATATCTACTATTGATATTACCTTACTGTTTTTCCAGTGCTATTTTTGGAATCTTAAAACAACATGCAGTGAAACGAAAATGACCAACAATGTGTCGAATGATAGAATAATTCATCGTTTGTTTCGTCCTATACGTATATTTTTATACCCCTTGACACAAATTTGTTTCACCAGGGCGCGTACAATGAGTCTTGACCAAAGAAAACCGCTTTTAAATCAAATCACCTTTTCAGATGGATGGTCGAGGGATAACCAGTGGAACTTAGCAAAAATCCCAACCAACGGTGCAGTATTATATGTGCAGGCTTCCGTCTGCGCAAAATTATCCCTCTTGTCCCTAAACCCATCCTCGGAATCTGGTCCACCCACCAAAGCCGCAACGAGCACGTTGGGGTTAGGGTTGGGCGACATGAACCAGTGATGGTACCCTGGCATGCACCCCACGAAATCCCTGCTCTCCTTGAGAGACACGATGGATGCGCCCCTATGGTGCACCCTGGTTGGATACGCAGGTCCGTACCCAACCAGGTAGCTCAAGCCCATGGGGTTGGATCCCAAGATGTAGTCCACCTGGGACCTCACAAAGGCCATAATCTCGTCTTGGCCCACTGGGCCCGCATGGCAGTCTAACACTCCTTTGGTGGACCGAAGGTGGTTGGTGTAGGCTGCTAACAGGAGAACTGAGGTGGTGACATATTGCATATTGTTCCACCGACGGGTGTAGAGGAGCCCACCAGGGGTCCGCTTCACGTTTGCAGCCTTGTTCTTGTTGAGGCACCCACACATGTAGTGTTCGGCTTTTGAACGATATTCGTGCAGGACTAGCTTGTCTCTTTTCTTCTTTCCTCTCATTGGCAACTGCATGATTTTTTAATATTACAATCTTTTAGGAAAGAAAGAGGCAGAACTGTTAATATATTACCATGGAAGCTAAAATTTGGGCACCGGCAAACTTAACATCCCAACTGAATTCAGTGATGGCCCAAGTACTCCCACCAAAGGCCTCAGCATTATTAATAGCATAATCCAAGTAGGTTATATTGTTTGTTGCCTTATGCAGCCACAGGGCAGCCCACAACAACTCATCCTTGTATCCACTAATTGACGTATAGTATCTTCTTGCAACTTCAATGCTCGTATCGTATTTGCCTCTAAATTTGTCCCCAAACTCAAACAACTGCAAGCGAATCATATATTTGCATCTTTTGCAGTTTAATGTCTAATCTTATAATTTTCATAATACATGAGACAAACATGAAGTTCACTACATCAAAGTAGACAAAGACTCTTGACTCGATTATATGAAATTTGAGTTAAATATGAAATCACAACCTTAGCATTTATTAAAATTCCGACTTTCCACAGAAATTAATGAGGCAAATCTGTATGATCTAGGATAACTCACAAAGTTGAAAAAAGTCTGTATTCTTGTTTTCAACTTACAACCTCAAATGACAAAACTTTACCTGTTCTGCATGGTCCAAGAGAAGGTGTGAGTAATGTGGATCTTTTCTCTTGAACAAGATAGAGGTGGCAGCCATGGCTGCTGCTGTCTCAGCCGCCACCTCAGATCCAGGATGTTCCTCGTCAACCTTGTAAGCGCACCGGGAAGTTGTCATGTCCTCAGGCCGCTGCCAACACATGTGATCCGTGTCCCCATCGCCCACCTTGTAGTCACGTCCATTAATTGAAAATTGTCATTTATTACACTTATTACATATTTCCCTTACTTATAGTGAATTATGGAAAATTAAAATTCAATCACAATTTTGATAAGATCTCTTTTATTACAAATGGTGATTCCCATTACGCTGCACATTATATACACGATAGTCACGTGTGTCGAAAAAAATTACCTTATAATCGAGCATGTATCTAATTTGCATTGAAGAATTATTACCTGAGCCCAGAGAATATGAGGATGAGTGTGTGCTTTGATGAAATAATCAGTTCCCCATTTGATGGCTTCAAGAGCATGATTGAGTTCACCTGCTGCAACTATTTCATTTTTGAACTCAATGACACCCCAAGAAAGCAGTGTAATAGTATAAGCCATTGGCAGACCGAACTTTACGTTGTCGCCAGCATCATAATAGCCCCCCACCAAGTCCACCTATGCATATTTGCATATACTCCATACCATTTAGTATTAGAAAACAAAAATTATAAGAGTCACCCGAGCAAACGTGACAAAAGAAATTGATAGCGTCTATGTTGGATGTCTTAATATCAGCAAGAATACGGTGCAAGACCCCCTGAATCTGTTGATTTCATATAGTTAAAAATAAGAATGAGATACACATTCATACGTGCGCATATCAATTAATGGCTAATTTTCAATATTTTTGCCTCGAAAAAGTTGAGGTCCTCATTAATTTAGTTGTCGTTTTTGCTTTTTCGGCATAATAATACAAGTTGAGATGATGTGTTGTATCATAAAAATGAACTGACCCCTTGTTCAAGGCCGTCTGTGAGACCAGAGTGGTGTCGCCAGGTCACCCTTTGGTCGTGCGGGAGGTGCCCCGATCGTTGGGCCTCAAAGTAGAGGAGGCTCTTGGAGAGGGCTTCTCCATAATCGTGGGATTGACATAATGAGAACGTAAGTGTTAAGAATACAACAAGAAAATTTTTGAGGTGAGCTAAAGGGTAGCATTTGTTTTGCATTTTTTTTCCTTTTGTTGATCAAGTGAGGATGATTATGCCCCTCTATATAACACCTGGAGACGTTTGTTTTGTAAAATGTTTGAAAAAACTACAGATTTGTTATTTCATTTTTTTTGTTAATTATAGGCATGTGTGCTTACGTTTAAGGAATTGATATCCATGTATTTAAACATGTGATATATAAACAAGGGAAATGCTACGGTCCCGTTACGGAATCATTCCGTCGAGGTTTGTAACCGTTAAATCATCTATCCCCGACGGTTACATGATAATCTAACAGTTACATATCCCGACGGAATGGTTCCGTAACGGGACCGTAACATTTTCCTATAAACAATTACATATTCATGTGCAACGAAAATATCTGTCAATCTGGGAAACTATATATCGATCACATTGGGTTGCACACTGGTAACAATGTTGAGGTGTGAAGATTAGTCAAAGAAAGAGAACTTCCTCGTAAGTTCTCGGTGAAAGAAAGAGAACTTCCTCGTAAGTTCCTGGTAAAAGATAGGGAACTTCCTCGTAAGTTCCTGGTCAAAGGAAGGCTACTTCCTTGCAACTTCCTGGTCAAAGGAATGGAGCTTCCTCTCAACTTCCTCGCAAGAAGGATTTGTTTGGCTATAAATACCTCATTTTGTAACCTCATTTGTATCCAATCCAAGTGAAAAAGAAATACATATAAGTGTGAAGAAAGAGTAGAGAGAGTGTATTCATACGGGCTTGTGTGAGTTGTAACATTCGGTTTATCCTCTTATTCTAGTTCATTCTCCTGGCTTGGTTCGCCCCCAGACGTAGGATTTAATCCGAACTGGGTTAACAAATATTCGTGTCTTTTATTGATTTCACATTGGTGTATTATTATTATTCCATCTTATCCGACCTTATTTCCCAACAACTGGTATCAGAGCCAGGAGGTTGGAGATAAGATGGAGGGAAAGATTCAAGTCGAACGGTTCAATGGTTCCGACTTTGGATTCTGGCGAATGCAAATGGAGGCTTACCTGTACGGGAAGGACCTCTACGCACCTCTTGGGGAAAAACCTGAGAAGATGAGCGATGATGAATGGAAGGTGCTCGATCGGAAGGCGATGAGCGCTATAATTCTTTCGCTCTCTCGGAACGTCGCCTACCATGTGAAGGGAGCAAAAAGCACGAAGGAGGTCTTGCAGACACTCGCCGACATGTATGAAAAACCATCAGCAATAAACAATGTGATGCTGATGAAAAAGCTGTTCAAATTGCAAATGGAGGAGCGAAAGTCAGTGGCCGATCATCTCAACGATTTCAACCAACTCACGACGCAGTTGGCATCAATGAGGTAAAAGCCCTAATCTTGCTCTCATCATTGCCGGACAGTTGGGACGTGGTTGTTACTTCGGTGAGCACTTCTTCTGGCAAGGAGAAGATGAAGTTCGACAACATAAGAGATATGATGTTGAACGAGGAGACCCGAGAAATCAGGCGGGTGGGTCGTCTGGCTCAGCCCTACATACAGAGTCCAGAGGGAGACCCGAAACACGAGGGAAAATCCGTGGGAGGTCAAAATCCAGGGGAAGGAATAAAGGCAAGAAAGAGATGGTGTGTTGGAACTTCGAGAAGCCTGGGCATATGAAAAGCGAATGCCGGGCACCAAGGAAAGACAAAGAAGGCCGGACAGCCAATGCCGCGACGGAGGACACGGCGGATGCACTCTTGTTGAGTGTGAGAAGCTCGCTCGATGACTGGATCGTGGACTCAGGGGCCTCATTTCACTCATGCAGTAGCAGAGACATCATGGAGTCATACACTGCAGGTGATTTTGGCTTGGTATATCTTGCAGACAACAAATCCCTAAAAATTGTAGGGAAGAGAGATGTGCAGATCAAGTCCGCAAATGGGTCATGCTGGACCCTACGTGATGTGAGACACATTCCAGGACTGAAGAGAAATCTCATCTCAGTTGGACAGCTGGACAATGACGGCTTCCACACAATGTTTGGAGACGGAAAGTGGAAGGTCAGCCGAGGAGCTATGACTTTGGCAAGAGGGCTGAAGTCAGGAACGCTTTACACGGCGAGTAGATCCAGCTCAACCATTCTCCTGGCAGGAGCTGTCTCACAATCGCACTTGTGGCACAGTCGTTTGGGCCACATGAGCGAAAAAGGAATGAAGGTACTAAAGTCGAGAGGACTTTTGCCCGAGTTGGAGTCAGTGGACGTGGGTCTCTGCGAGCAATGCGTGCTTGGAAAGCAGAAGAGAGTGAGCTTCATAACCACCGGAAGAGCTCCAAAGACAGAAAAACTGGAGCTCGTGCACATTGACTTATGGGGGCCAGCACCGGTGACATCTCTTGGAGGATCGATGTACTACATGACGTTCGTCGATGACTGCACAAGAAAGGTATGGGTGTACTTTCTGAAAAGAAAATCCGAAGCCTTTGATACTTTCAGGAGATGGAGAGCACTCATGGAGAAAGAGACAGGTCTAGAAGTGAAATGTCTCAGATCCGACAACGGTGGCGAGTACAACAGTGAAGCCATCAAAGAATACTGCGCTGATCATGGGATCCGGATGCAGAAGACGGTCCCAGGGACACCTCAACAAAATGGCATTGCGGAGAGGATGAACAGAACACTGAATGAGCGTGCGAGATGCATGCGATTGAAGAGTGGACTGCCCAAGATGTTTTGGGCAGAAGCAGTCAGCACGGCCGCTTTCTTGATCAACCGGGGGCCTTCTGTCCCACTGAACAACAAAATTCTAGAAGAGGTCTGGAGTGGTAAGAAAGTTGATCTCTCTTTCTTACGTACCTTTGGTTGTTTGGCTTACGTTTTGAATGACGACCGGACAAAGCTGGATGCTAAGTCCGTCAAATGTACATTCATTGGATATGGGACTGACGAATTTGGGTATAGATTTTGGGATGATCAAAATCGGAAAATTATTCGCAGTCGTAATGTGGTGTTCAATGAAGGCATAATGTACAAGGACCGGAAGGAATACCTGGACGATGACAAGACCATGCAGGAGTATGTTGGTCTCGATATTTCAAATACCGGAATCATGAGACCAGCAGATTTAGTAGGAGCTCAGATAGATGAGATCGAGCGTACAGAAGAAAAGGTAGAACCAGAATCGGATGAACCGATTGCTGAGAGCAGCACGCCTCTGGCACTGGGCCGAGAACCGAGGATGAGAAGGGCCCCTGATAGGTACTCCCCTTCTCTTTATTACCTACTTTTATCTGATTCTGGGGAACCCGACTGTTATGCAGAGGCAGTTAAAGATGCCCACAAGAGCAAGTGGGAGCTTGCGATGGAAGACGAGATGAACTCGTTGAAGAAGAACCACACATGGGATTTGTGTGATCTCCCACAAGGAAAGAAGGCTCTTCAAAGCAGATGGGTCTATCGGGTCAAGGAGGAATCAGATGGAACAAAACGGTACAAGGCCAGACTTGTAGTAAAGGGATTCCAACAGAGATACGGTATTGACTTTACCGATGTTTTTACACCTGTTGTTAAGTTAACCACTATACGTTTAGTGTTAAGCATCGTAGCGGCGGAAAACTTGGAGTTGCAACAGTTAGATGTGAAGACGGCCTTTCTGCATGGGGATCTCGAGGAGGAAATTTACATGGTGCAACCAGAGGGATATAGAGGAAATGATCAGCAGGTCTGTCGCCTAAAGAAGAGCTTGTACGGACTGAAACAGGCTCCTCGACAGTGGTACCGAAAATTCGATAATTTTATGCTGGAGATAGGATACTCCAGGTGTAATGCTGATCATTGTTGCTATGTGAAGAAGTTCGGTAACTCTTTCATTATTTTACTGCTATATGTGGATGACATGCTGATAGCAGGATCAGATGTCAAGGAGATCGAGAGGCTCAAAGATCAGCTATCAAGGAGATTTGATATGAAGGATCTAGGAGAAGCGAGACAGATACTGGGCATGAAAATCACGAGGGACAGAAATGCTGGTAAACTTTGGCTTTCTCAATCTGATTATATTGAGAAGGTGTTGTGCTGATTCAATATGAATATTGAAAAGTCGGTTCGAGTGCCATTGGGAAGCCAGTTCAAGTTGTCCAACAAGGATTCGCCCCAGGATGACTCTGAAAAAGAAAAGATGAGAGTTACGCCGTATGCTTCGGCTATCGGGAGCCTAATGTACGCCATGGTCTGCACCCGGCCAGACATAGCACATGCAGTGGGAGTAGTCAGCCGGTTCATGAGCAATCCTGGAGTGATGCACTGGGAGGCGGTAAAGTGGATCCTTAGGTACCTGAGGGGTACTAAGGACCGGGCATTAGTATTTGGCAGGGGTACCCTTACCCTGTCTGGGTATGTCGATGTTGATTTTGCAGGAAGTGATCTTGACAAGAGGAGGAGTACTACTGGGTACGTATTCACTTACGGCGGGACGGCCGTATCCTGGATCTCAAAGCTGCAGAAGATAGTCACATTGTCCACAACGGAAGCTGAGTACGTGGCAGTGACGGAGGCAGCCAAGGAGCTCGTTTGGCTGCAAAACTTCTTGAATGAACTTGGGAGACCTCAAGAGGATGTGGCTCTATACAGCGATAGCCAGAGTGCAATCCATCTGGCAAAGAACCCCGCGTTTCACTCGCGAACGAAGCACATCGAGGTTAAGTATCATTTCATCCAGCAACTTCTAGAGAAGAAGATGCTGCAGCTGAAAAAGGTTCGGGGAGATAGGAATCCTGCAGACATGTTGACCAAGGCGGTAACTTTGGAAAAGTTGAAGCTGTGTGTAGCTTCGACCGGCCTTGATGATTAAAACATGCAGACTTGGCAGAACCAGGAGCAGAGATGAACAGGTTGACCAATCTTCAAGTGGGAGATTGTTGAGGTGTGAAGATTAGTCAAAGAAAGAGAACTTCCTCGTAAGTTCCCGGTGAAAGAAAGAGAACTTCCTCGTAAGTTCCTGGTAAAAGATAGGGAACTTCCTCGTAAGTTCCTGGTCAAAGGAAGGCTACTTCCTTGCAACTTCCTGGTCAAAGGAAGGGAGCCTCCTCTCAACTTCCTCGCAAGAAGGATTTGTTTGGCTATAAATACCTCATTTTGTAACCTCATTTGTATCCAATCCAAGTGAAAAAGAAATACATATAAGTGTGAAGAAAGAGTAGAGAGAGTGTATTCATACGGGCTTGTGTGAGTTGTAACATTCGGTTTATCCTCTTATTCTAGTTCATTCTCCTGGCTTGGTTCGCCCCCAGACGTAGGATTTAATCCGAACTGGGTTAACAAATATTCGTGTCTTTTATTGATTTCACATTGGTGTATTATTATTATTCCATCTTATCCGACCTTATTTCCCAACAAACAAAAGTTGTGTTAATGTAATTTACAGAGTCACGTATATTCAACTGCTACATTTATAGTATATGCTTGAGTTTTAATCAGTTGCTACATTGATAATCATTGTTAAGGTGCACGTGCATCGCACATGAATTAATCGCACATGAATTATGTGATATTTAATTAATGGTATTTTATCAAATATATTGTCAACATAATCGTTTATATATATATATATATA